ATAAATAAATAAATAAATAAATAAATAAATAAATAAATAAATAATCAATCAGTCAATCAGTGGTATCAAAAGATGTTGCAGGACCTGGGGAGTTGCACTACCTCTCTTCTCTTCCAAGTATTGTACATGATTTATTTTTTTTAAAAATAAAAATACTTTCAAAAGCTATACAGCTTGCAAGCAGTCATTCCAAGGATGGACCGTAGCTCAACAGAAGAATAATATTTTGCACAAAGACGATTCCACATTCTCTAATTAAAGGAATAGAAATTATACTGTCGGAGATGCTGAAGAGCAACTATATTCTTGGTGGTGCAAATGAACCCAAAAACCTATCTTTGTTTCAAGCTCAGAGCAAAACAGTCCCATTCAAAATATTCAGTCAGAACATTTTAAATTGGCTATAGGACACATACCATTCACTGCCTCACTTTTCACAACAGGGCCGCTGTTGCTTAGCTCTTACCTGAACATTACAGCAAATATTCTCTCTCTCTCTCTCTCTCTCACACACACACACACACACGTATATCCCCCATACATATATACACAGAACTATATTTGTAACTGCCAACAAAATCTGAATTCCATAGCACTCTGAAAACTCAGTGTCAAGAAAAACATTAACCGAATGTATTCAAAGCTCAGCAAGTCAATTAAATCAAGCCAGAAGTCTTTTCTGGGGGTTGAACTTCAGGGGGCATTTGAAATAAAAAGACTTTTATTTTATTTTATTATTTTGCTTTATTTTATTTGAAAAGAGACTCTGAAGCTCAATATCAACAGGATACAAGAGCATGCACACACACACACACACACACACACTACAGTGTAGAAATCAATCAAATCATTCCAACATAGATAACAATAGTAGTCTTTGCATCTACAGCTCACACGACTCCAGGAGTTTCAGCCATGCTTATGAATGAAACAAGTAATGCACTCACATGCACAAACCTAGGTCACACGGTTGCAACATTCCTGCCCTCACTTGAGCAGCAGGGCAGACTCCACAATGGGTCTTCAGTTCTGAGCTATGGGCTTCAATAAGGGCTGCTTTGCCTCAGGGTTCCCTAGATCATTCCATCCAGTCTAAGCCAGTAGCAGCAATCCCACAGCCAGCAGGGACATGGAAAAAGCGAAAGAAAGGCAACCTATCACAAGCCACAAAACAAACTCTGATCACAGCACTCAGAACAACCCAGAACTTTCAAAACAACACCACTCACAATGGCCAGCTTTTGTTCTGAGCCTATTAGAAAGAAACAAAACTTTTGGAGAATTGGATTTTTATGTCAAACATGGGAGTCTCAGAATGCCGATTTTATGCTCAGAAAGTTTTGCAAACTCCTAAAACCAAGGGAACAAACAATACTAGCAAAGCAGACGAAGACTCTGGCCTGAGCATTCCTGTTTGTGGGCACAGCTCTCTTTTTTCTTTCATTTCCAAGACTATCACTACAGCAGTCCCTATGTAAGACCTGCAGTTATCACACTGGTATTGTATGAAGAAAGACTCGTATTATCATGGATGGGTGTAGCGGAAGAAGGCATTTCTGTGGTTCTGAAAATATGATTATCTATTCAGTTTTAAAACAAATTCTAACCTAGTTTCCTGATTTTGCAGAGCAAAAGGGCCTGCATAACTTGTCACCACAATGTCTGCAGATGCAAAAGACCTCCTCCAGTAATCATATGACACTCTTTCTTTATCCTATGCAATTTGAAAACTAGTGTCTTTTTCATGCCGGAAATATCATATATATACATATACATACATATATATGTACATACATATATTCACAAAGACACATACACACACATATACATATATGTACATGCATGTGTCTTTGTGTGTCAATCTTATTTACTTATCTGATAGTAATTTTGATTGATTTTTAAATATTTCTAAATAAATATTTTAAATATTTTTATTATTTTTATTTTTAAATATTTTAAATCAATATTTTAAATATTGATAGCCTAATAATTTCTAGCTACCATCACTTCTTGGGAGATATTTATTATTTATTTAGGACTAATTGTTTTATTGTATTTTTAATTAATATTTACCTTTTCTGTAAACCACCCAGAGTCATTTTCTAACGAGATGGGCAGTGACAACTTCGATAAATAAATAAATAAATTTACTCCACCTTTATTTTTGCTGAACTCAAAGCAGAGTACAATACCTAATGTTCCTACCTCCTGCT